GAGGACCCATTGGACTGTGACCCATTGGGTTGGTTCCCGCGTATACGCGGCGCTCCTCCCTTCTGCGAGCGCCCGCGACCTATAGGCCCTAGGGGTCGTCGCAGCCAGGAAGGCCCCGCAGGTAGCGCCTGTAGGCGCTGCCGTTGGGGAGCGCGGATGCCTTTAGGCAGGGAGGGCCTTTAGGCGCGCCTGTAGGCGAGGAGGGCCTGTAGGCGTGCCTATAGGCAGGGGCGCCTGTAGGCGGTGTGTGTGTGGGGGGAGGGCCTGTAGGCGTGCCTGTAGGCAGGGAGAAAGGGAAAAAAGGGGGGGGGAGAGAGGGGAAGAGAGGGGGTGCGTGCCTGTAGGCAGGGAGGGCCTGTAGGCATGCCTGTAAGCAGGGAGCGGGGGAGGGCCTGTAGGCGTGCCTGTAGGCAAAGGAGGGAGGGGGCAGGGAGTGCCTGTTGGCGTGCCGGTAGGCAGGGAGGGAGGGAGGGGGAGGGAGGTGGGGAAAGCGCGCGTCACGCGCGAGCCCGCCGTGCCCCTTTCTGACCGTCGGCGCTAGCATGCGTGCACGAAGGTCGATACAGCCACGCCTATCAGCCGCACCTTGGCAGCTAGCTCGTCCACGTCCAGCGTGTCCCGCAGCGCCCACCGCAAGAGCTCGCCCCTCGGCGGGCCCCACGCGGCATGCACCGCCTCCCGGTGGGCCTCCATGGCGGCACAGCACTCGATCAGGTGCTGGAGGCAGCCCTCGCCGCCAGCGCACAACGGGCACGCCTCGGGCAGGCGCTCCGCCGGCAATCCCCAGACCCCGACCGGGATCTGGAGGGACACGCGCGCGGCGCACCATGCACGGTGGAATTGCCACATAGTTCGCCCCCATGACGCCCACCTGAGGGCGGGGGGCCAGTCGCAGTGCAGCGGGAGGACCTCCGCGATGGGAACGAGGCCGGTGTCGTTCAAGCGGCCCAGCTGCTCCCGGAACCAGATCTGCTCGGTTTCACGGATCCGCGGCAACACGGCCGCGCGGGCCCAGCCGCGAAGGGCGCGCCGCCTCGCCAGCGCACCCGCCTGGGCCGCGACAGCCAGGCCCTCCGGCGGCGCCCCCACCCCGAAAAGGGCGGCCACCGCGGCGGCTTCATGCAGCCAACAGCCGCCTTGGCGCGCCAGCGCTGCCCGCACCGCCGGGGCAATCGGCGTCTGCTCCGGCAACAGGAGCATCCGGGCCCATGACATAACGATCCGGAGGGCCACTTTGCTGGAAGCCCGCGTCAACAACCGAGTCTCTAGGAACAGGCGCACGTAGCCCCCAGTGCCCATGGATGCGGCTGGCGGCAAACCCAGCAGCGCTTTGGCCACGTCATAGTACGCCCGGTTCAGCTGGGTTGCAACTTCGTTCCAGCCGCGGGCGTGGCTGGCGAGGAGTTCCGCTCCGTAGAAGGCCGAAGCCTCCGCGCGGGCGGGAAGCTGCTCCGCCTGCACTGGCATCCCAAAACCGTGGTCGGTCAGCCCTGCCACCAAGCGCCGAGCGGACTCGCGGAGCTTCGCGCACACACGGGCGAGCAGGGGCTCGAGCGACAAGTCGGCGTCGATGACTACGCCCAGCACGTCCAAGTTATCCACCGCCCGTACTGGGACGCCGTCTACCGAGCCACACGCGGCGGCGTCGATCGGCGCCCCCCCGACAACCATCGCGGCGGGGCCTTTGCTGCCAGACTGAAATCTGTGGCGGTACAGGTGGCAGAATTCAGTCATGCCGCCGTTCGCCCTTGCCAGGCTAGCCTCGTCGGGCTGCAAAGTGAAGCTGTCGTCCACGAACTGAAGCATGAACATGTTTTCCGGGGCGCCTCCAGCAAGAGGTGGGGGCGCCAGCGCCGCGCCTTCCGCCGCCCGGCGACGCGAGTCCAGGAGCGCGCGTACCAGGGCCCCGAACAAGTGCACCCCTGCGCGCCGGCCCTGGCCCACACCGAAGCCCACCAGAATGTGCGCGGGGCCCACGAGCGGCCCGATGCGCAGGCGCGCATTTTCGTCGCCAAGGGATGCGGCCGCGGCAAGCCACAGGCGCCCCCGCACCGCCGCACGGCGGAGCTGCACGAGGACAGCATCCCGCCAAGCCAGGTCGAACCCGTGCAGAAGGTCTGCTTTCTGGAGCACAGTGCGGTGCCCTCCCAGGCGGCGCAGCTGCAGCGCCATCAATAGGCCAGCGGCCATGGGGGTCCCGTCGAACAGCCCCCCGGCCTGCTCGGCCCCCGCGAAAGCCTCAAGCAGGTGCCGGGTGGCGGCCAACCACGCCGCGTCGAGGAACCCTTCGATGTCATCGACGTAACTTATAGGCCGGAGATTGTTGACGTCCGTCACGACCTGCGAGCCGCGCTTGCGGATGGGGGCGAGCTCCCGCATCCACATCGTCGCGCCCAGGCCGACTACAAGGGAAAGGTTCAAGATGGCCCACGTGACCACCAGTCCGTCGACCACGAGCGCCTTAGCCGCGGCACGGGGGAGGCGCAAGGTGCGCCTGTCGGTCGGCGCCTGCTGGACGAGGGACGCCACGAGCTCCACGGAGAACGGGTCGTCAACCTCCTCCGCTGTCTCCCGCAGGGCTTCGGCCCGGGCCTCCTTCACTGCCTGGCGGACGGCTGCGGAAAAATCCGCCGAGCCTGCGCCCGCTGCGTCGCTGCGCCTGGGGATCGATGGCGTCAGCCACAGTGTGCATAGTCTCTACTGGCACGAGGCGCGCCCCGGTGCCGGGGTCGCACAGGGCTAATTGCAGCGCCGCCTTCGGCTTCAGAAGGTGCGACAGAAACCCCCGGCCCGGGACTGGGAGGCCGCCGCCAATTCGAGGTAACGGTCTACAGCGCGCTCGCGTTCCGCCGCGGCTTTTCCCGCCAGCTCGTCCGCCATGGCAACGTAGTCTACGTCGGGCGGTGGGGCGCCCACCCCCAGCAACACCTCGCCGGAGTCATGGCCAGGCCGTTGCATTCCGCGCCCGGGCGCCGATGCGCCCCCCTGCCTGGGGCGCGACACCAGCACCAGACCGCCAAAGTGCCCGGCCA